TGCACGCAGGATCTGGTCCAAGGCACACCAGAGTGGTTCACTGCCTTTTGCTTACCTCTCCGGTAGAAGATTGGGGTAGGCTTTGGCACGAGGAGGGTTAGGCAGGGTCCATTCATCAGACTCCGTCTCCACCAGCAAGATATGCTGATCTACATCATGCTTTGGGCTCACATACACGCCTTTTACCATCGTCATGCCTGGGGTATCGACGGTGAACTAGCTGCAAGGCTTCAGCCGGCGCTAGGTTGAGGAAGGCACAATGTGGGCACAGAGGTCCAAAGCCCTATCCCCCAAACCCTGAACCCTAGTTGATGCCCAACCTAAACTCCCAGTAGAAGGATCTTAAAATCTCAGCATGACTCCAGCTTAAACTCTCAAACCCTTGAACCCTAAAACTTTGACCTCAACACATGAAAACTTTAAACCCCACTGCCAACATCCTCAACCCGTCAAGCCCAAGGCCCTAAGACCTAACCCCGAAACCTTCAAGCCTTCAGCCAAAAACCCCTAAACCCCTAAACCCCTAAACCCCTCAACCCCTCAACCCCTCAACCCCTCAACCCCTAAACCCCTAAACCCCTAAACCCCTAAACCCCTAAACCTCTAAACCCCTAAACCCCTAAACCCCTAAACCCCTAAACCCCTAAACCCCTAAACCCCTAAACCCCTAAATCCTTAGCCTTAAAAACCTAGACCCTAAACCCCTAAACCCTGAACCCTTCCAAACCAACAAACGCTGGCTTGGGCCGTGCCTGTGGCCTCTGCCAGGAAACCATGGAGATGCTCCAAGTGCCTCAGGTTCGGTTTCGCGATTGGAGTCTGGGGGGCGTATCCGGGTACCGGGCGGGGAGCGCCTTTTCTTTAGCTTTAGCTTGCGTAGCCCTAACAAGGGGCTTTCTTCCATTTTCTTGAACTGGAAAGGCTCCTGGAGCCTGAGGCTAGGGGGTGGCGGCGGGGAGCGAGTTGGTCAGAATTACCTATAAGGTTCGGGGAGTCTAAGGCTCGTCATCATGAGGCTAAACCCCAAAACCCAAAACCCTAAACCCTAAACCCATGGATGCCCTGCTGGGGTGGACGAAGCCGACCAAAAAGAAACCCTGCACAAACCCACAAGCGCCATCAGAACACTACAGGCACCCTTGTCCAAACCCTGTAAAACCCTCACCTCTAAGCCCCTGTGAAAAACCCTATCAAGGCCTAAACCCTAAACCCTAAACCCTAAACCCTAAACCCCCCTTTGCCAAGGGCTTGGTACTCCAAAAAACCAGGCGGAGCCCAAGGAGCTGCGCGAACTGCCGCGCCATCTCGGCCCGATACGACGCCTGGCCCCGAGGCGCAGGAGCCCGGGAGGAGCTTGGGTTTAGGGTTTAGGGTGTAGGGTTTAGGGTTTAGGGTTTAGGGTTTCGGGTTTGGGGTTTAGGGTTTAGGGTTTAGGATTTAGGGTTGAGAGCCCTAAGCCCCAACCCTCGCTTCTTAAACATCTGTCCCTCAACCACCGAAATCACATTGGGTCTCAGGTTTAAGGCATTAGGGTTTGAGGTGTATAATTGGGCCCTGCACCCGTCGAGAGTGCAACTCCAAACCCCCAAAACCTTAAACCCTAAAGCCTATGTACCCTACCCTAAACCCTTAAAAAAGATGAGACACAAAAGCGACCCTCATCCCCCCCAACGCAGTTACCCAGTTAACCTCGGTGTTTCGACGCCATAGGAGAATGGAGCCCGGAAAGACCAGCACCTGAGAGGGTTTACGCACTTGCAGGTGTGGGGTTAGGGTTTAGGGTCTAGGGGTTTGGGTTCAGGGGTTTGGGGTTAGGGTTTAGGATGCTGAGAGTTGAGGATTTCGGGCTCGAGGGTTTATCATATTCTGGGCGTTCAGGGTTTAGGGCTCTCCCCAGTAAGGACTATTGCAGCCCTTCATACGAGAAACAAGTACTTAAGGGCTAGCCACACATGGCTGAGCTCTTAGGGTTTGACCCGAAACCCTGAACCCTAAAAAGCCCAGACTCCAAAACCCCGAACCCTCTCCCCCCCTCCCTCCCCCCGAAAAACACAAAACCCAAACCCTTGAAAAACAAAGCACCCAACTCCCACCCCTGAACCTAGACCCCAGAGCGACCTAGGAGCATGAACGCGTAAGCGTACCCCTTGTTGCTTAAAAGGGGTTTATCAGAGAACCTCCAGACCGTAAACCCGCCAAAGCCCTACTAAAACCCTTAACCCTAAACCCTAAAGCCCTAAACCCTAAACCCGAAACCCTAAACCCCCAAAACCCCTGGACCCCACATACCCCCAAACCCTAAACAAAAAGTGAATAGAGGTCCCTGGGTCTTAAAGTGAACGGCCCGCCGGGTCCCCGGACCCGCACCACTAACCGCAGCACCAGCCAGAGGACGGCAACCTCAGAGATGCCGAGGAAGTAGGGTTTGGGGTTTAGGGTTTAGGGTTTAGGGTTTGGGGTTTAGGGTTTAGGGTTTAGGGTTTAGGGTTTAGGGTTTAGGGTTTAGGGTTTAGGGTTTAGGGTTTAGGGTTTAGGGTTTAGGGTTTCAGGTCAAGGGCTTTTGTTCGGTAGCTGGGCTGCCGGCATTGAAGAGAGCTGCGCCTGGGGCTGTAACCAGCCGCGCTAGGCACACCTGATCCGTTAGGCTTTAGGGTTTAGGGTTTAGGGTTTTGGGTTTTGGGTTTTGGGTTTAGGGTCTAGGGGCGGACATCTGTAATGCTTCTCGTGGGTGCTTGCTTGGCTGCTGCTCCTGATTACGCTGAAGAGTCGTGCTTTGGTCGCTGTGTTTGCTAGGATTGTTGCGCCAGCGCTGTTGGGGCCTCAGAGCCCACAACTTATGTTTTCCTGTTCATGGTTGTGTCTTGGGATGTCCCCCCTTATACTAACAGTCCTTAATAGGGAAAAGAACTATTAAGGGCTGTTAGTATAAGGGGGAACATCCCAATTGTGTCCACTTTTGTTCCCTCTGCTTGCAATCCACTTGCTTTCCTCCCTGCTGCGAATGTGAAAAGAAGACCCTAAACCCTCAACCCTAAACCCTAAACCCACATCTCTGGCAGAACCAGGCGAGCCAGGGCACATTGAAGATGGCAATCAGCAAGAGAATGAGCAGGATCGCTGGAGTGAGAACCAGGCACAGGACCTCAGCGTTAATTCCAAACCCGAAACAAGCCCAAAAGGGCCCCCAACTGCTCTAAACCCTCCGCTGCAACAGCTCCAACCCCAGTACCTGGAACCCTAAACCCTAAACCCTAAACCCTAATCCCTAAACCCTAAACCCTAAACCCTAAACCACCTTCAACCCTTGAACCCCCAGGGCCCCGGCCGGAGAGTTCTGGATGCAGCGCCGCAGCGCTGCAGCCGCGGAGGCCACGGCGCCCGCGACGCGGGCCACCTCTTTTCAGGGGCTCTGGGAGGGGCGTAGGGGTTTAGGGTTGAGGGTTTGGGGTTTAGGGTTTAGGGTTTGGGGTTTGGGGTTTGGGGTTTAGGGTTTTGGGTTTAGGGCTTTGGGTTTAGGGTTTGGGTTTAGGGTTTAGGGTTTAGGGTTTAGGGTTTAGGGTTTAGGGTTTAGGGTTTAGGGTTTGGGGTTTGGGGTTTAGGGTTTAGGGTTTAGGGTTTTAGGGTTTAGGGTTAGGGTTTAGGGTTTAGGGTTTAGGGTTTAGGGTTTAGGGTTAGGGTTTAGGGTTTTAGGGTTTAGGGTTTAGGGTTTAGGGTTTGGGTAGGGTTTAGGGTTTAGGGTTTAGGGTTTAGGGTTTAGGGTTTAGGGTTTAGGGTTTAGGGTTTAGGGTTTAGGGTTTAGGGTTTAGGGTTTAGGGTTTAGGGGGCTCTGGGAGGGACCTCCTAGCTGAAGGTTTTTCAGGGTTTAAGGTTTAGGGGTTTTGGGTTTGTGGGTGAAGGGGGGTTTGGGAGTTTAGGGGTTTAAAGGTTTACATAAGGAGTTTTAAGGGTTTAGGGGTTTGGGAGTTTAGGAGTTTAGGAGTTTAGGAGTTTAGGGCTCAGGGGTTCAGGGGTTCAGGGGTTCAGAGGTTTAGGGGATTAGTTGCGGACTTCGGAGGTCTTTTGGGGCCAGCCAACGGGGTTTCAAGGAAGGTTTGCTGTGAAAAACGGGGCTGGAGAGGCCTTTGGGCTTTGCTTTGTGGGGGCTAACGGAACTCGGGTTTGGGGTTTAGGGTCTCAGGTTTAGGGGGAGGCGCCAAACCCTAAACCCCAAACCCTAAACCCCAAACCCCAAACCCTAAACCCCAAACCCTACTCCCCACTTGCCGCAGGGGGGCAGCTGCAAAGCTCATGGCCGGCCGAGCTCCCATCGCCCAGGCGGCATGGAGGGGGGACTCTGATGGGCCGAGTCTGGCTTGGGTTTATGGTTTAGGGTTTAGGGTTTAGGGTTTCGGGTTTAGGGTTTAGGGTTTGGGGTTTAGGACTTTTGCTCCCGGAGTAGCCTTTGGTACTCTGAAACAAGGTATATAACTTAAGGCCTGAAACCTGAACCCAACATGCTTCTCAACACCATTTCCCCCTGGCTTACAAGGGTATAGAAGATGCCTTGATCAGAGTTGGGTCTGCGAGTGACGTGTTTCAGGGTGCAGTTTGGGGGGGGGCTTGGGGGTTTCAACACTGAAGGCTCCGGCTGGGGTGAGGTGTCTGATTCGCGGGAGGTGCAGGCCCTCACGCTGCGAGCCATGAAAAAGCAGAAACGCTAAGAATAACTCCACATTCCCCAAACCCATACCCCTTAAACGGTAAAAGGGGAATTTAAGGAAGGATGTTACCATAAACCTTAAATTTCTGTTAAGAGGTATGTCCAAGGGGTGTGTTGAACATTTCTTTGAGAAAAAGAGGCACAAACGGAAATCCAATAAGTTTTGAGAATCCTGAGCCCAAAATGTTTCGGGGTCTAGGGTTTAGGGTTCAGGCCTTAGAGTTTAGGGATTAGGAATTCGGGTTTAGGGTTTAGGGTTCAGGGCCTAAACCCAGCCATCCGCCAACAAAAGGACGCGCACCGAACCGCAGACGTCTCCGAGCCGGAAAGCATGGCCTGGCGAAGGGGCGAGTTGGCACTGAGGTGTTGTTGCTTAGGGATTTACAGTTCAGGGTTTATGGCTTCGGGTTTAGGGTTTGGGGTTTAGGGTTTGGGATTTGGGATTTGGGGTTTGGTTTGGGATTTGGGGGTTCCGGTGTTCTGTTGTGGGTTCAGGACTTGCGGTCGACGCAACCTCATTCCGACCTCAACTGCGAACACCTGAATCTGCAGGCTAGACTAGGACTTCGTGGCACCCTTGTGATAAATTCAAGGTCACTACTACTAGTGTTAAAATCTTCTTTTTCAATCGTATTCTGAAAACTATTTTCTATGACGAATGATGTCGTGTTGGAGCAGAAGCTGTCAGAGTCGACCCCACGGGTTTAGGGTTTAGGGTTTAGGGTTTGGGGTTTAGGGTTTAGGGTTTGGGGGCTAGGGTTTAGGGTTTAGGGTTTAGGGTTTAGGGTTTAGGGTTTAGGGTTTAGGGTTTAGGGTTTAGGGTTTAGGGTTTAGGGTTTAGGGTTTAGGGTTTAGGGTTTAGGGTTTAGGGTTTAGGGTTTAGGGTTTAGGTGTAGGGTTTAGGGTTTAGGGTTTAGGGTTTAGGGTTTAGGGTTTAGGGTTTAGGGTTTAGGGTTTAGGGTTTAGGGTTTAGGGTTTAGGGTTTAGGGTTTAGGGTTTAGGGATTCATTTCTGGCGTACTCATGTTGAAGCTCAAGCAATAGGTAAACTCAAACGTCTGGCGGCCGTAAGAGCCACGAAGCTTCAATCTGACAATTCTCACGGGTTTCGGGTTTAGGGTTTGGGGTTTAGGGTTTAGGGTTTAGGGTTTAGGGTTTAGGGTTTAGGGTTTAGGGTTTAGGGTTTAGGGTTTAGGGTTTAGGGTTTAGGGTTTAGGGTTTAGGGTTTAGGGCTTCGGACCCTAAACCCTCAACCCTCAACCCTGGGGAGCCGAGGATTCTGAGACCGGGAAGCCCTTCCGGGCCTTGGCTTGGTCGAAGAAGCTTCCAAGCATGCCTGGGGGCTGCCACATGGGTCCGATGTTTAGGGTTTAGGGTTTAGGGTTTAGGGCTTAGGGTTTAGGGCTTAGGGGTTGGGGGTTTAGGGGTTTAGGGTTTAGGTGTTTGGGGTTTGGGGGTTTAGGGGTTTTAGGGTTCAACCCTGGGCCCCTAACCCCCACCGCAAGCCCCTAACCCCTCCCCGCCCCCCCAAACTCTAAACCCTAAGCCCTAAACCCTAACTAAACCCTAAGCCCTAAACCCACAACAAAAGAAGAGCAAAAAAACACAATGTTAAATTGAGCTTTAATCAGGGTGTAGGGGCTTTGAGGTTTAGGGGGCTTGTAGGTGGTTTAGGGGTTAGGGGGTCTCAGGGGGGTTTTATGGGGGTTTAGAGTTTAGGTGTAGAGGGCTGTGGATAACGGTTATTTAACAAGTCGAAGCCCTGTTCGTCTCCCCAGAACTGGAACACCAACGCGGAACAAGTAGATCCGAGGGCTCGGAGACTTAGGGTCAGGTTTAGTCCTGAACCCTAAACCCTAAACCCCAAACACTCAACCCCAAACCCTAAACCCCAAACCCTAAACCCTAAACCCAAACCCCAAACCTTAAACGCATTCATCCCATCCGAGGCCTTGGCCGCTGGCTGGCGGGTTCGCCACCTTGGGCCGGCATTGGAGCCAAAGCCAATAACATGCGTTTAGGGTTTAGGATTTGGGGTTTAGGGTTTGGGGATTAGGGTTTCGGGTCGTGTGGTTTGCGAAAATAGGGGTACCCTTTTTGGGGGTCCCTTTATGAGGGGCTTCTATTCTATTTGGGGTATAAATGAGGTTCCCCTTATTTGGGAAATACCCACATGGATTGAGGGTCTAGGGTTTAAGGTTTCGAGCGGGGTTTGGGGTTTGGGGTTTACGGTTTCGGGTTTACGGTCTTCGCTGCAATGCGCTCGAACCACGACATTGTTGGGCTGGGGTCCGGCTCATCAGTTGAAGTGCCGCCCCACACCACCGACCTAACCTACAGTTTTGACCGGGCTCAGGATCTTGAGCTCTGCATAGTAAAAATACGAAGTCGTGCATTTCTGCTTGAGGGGGGGGGCCTTCGCTGTCCAGCCAGAAGGGCTTCCAGAAGAGCCTTCCGGGCCAACTTCGAGCTCCCGAAGTGGCCTTTGCAAAGCCTTCGAACGCCCCCTTCTCGCCGAAGCCCGATGGTCAATTTAGGGTCAGGGTTTAGGGTTTAGGGTTTAGGGTTTAGGGTTTAGGGTTTAGGGTTTGGGGTTTGGGGTTTAGGGTTTGGGGTTTAGGGTTTGGGGTTTAGGGTTTAGGGTTTAGGGTTTAGGGTTTAGGGTTTTAGAGTTTAGGGTTTAGGGTTTAGGGCTTAGGGTTTAGGGCTTAGGGTTTAGGGTTTAGGGTTTAGGGTTTAGGGTTTAGGGTTTAGGGTTTAGGGTTTAGGGTTTAGGGTTTAGGGTTTAGGGTTTAGGGTTTAGGGTGCAGGCTGTAGGGAAACCATATACACAGGCTCCTGCCGGTAGCGTGCTCCAGTTGAGGGTTTAGGAGGAAATGCATGGGGGCAGGGCATTCAAAAAGAGAATGGGAAAATATTGCATTTTGAGGGCTACATTAGGGGTCCTCAATTTTGGGAAGTACTCCCTTTTTGGGTAGAGTTTAGAATTTAAGGGTAGTCAAGACCTGTGTCAAATGTTCTTATGATTCTGATTGCTATAAGCTGCTGTTACATTCATATTTCTTGCTTTAAGCACAATATTCTTACTGCAGCTTCTGCGCATACACATCTGACCCTAAATCCTAGACCCGACACCCCAAAAAGCTATGGAGCCCTGAGAGCCTGGGACGTTAATTTAGGGAGTCGCTGTTGACGTAGAAGCTTTCGGGTTTGGGGTTAGGGCCTGCAGCTGAGGTGTGGAATGGCTTATGCGGGTTGCTCTCAATCAGGGTCCCCTTTTGGTCGAGACAAAGGAAAAAAAGGAATGCTCTTGTGTAGCTCTACGTAAACCCAACACCCTAAACCCTAAACCCTAAACCCTAAACCCTAAACCCCAAACCCCAAACCCTAAACCCTAAACCCTAAACCCTAAACCCTAAACCCTAAACCCTACCTAAACCCTAAACCGTCACTGAGAGCCCCCGGCCCCATCATCCGACTTCTTGGCCGCGCCGGTGGTCGCACGTTTCTGCAGGAGGCTTGCGGATGCAAGCACCGATGACCCCAAGGGCTTTAGGGTTTCGGGTTTAGGGTTTAGGATATAAGGTGCAGGGTTTAGGGCTTCGGGTTCCGGTTAAGGGTGAACATCTGCAAAGTGCCAGAGTTTGGGGGTTTAAGGCTTAGGGTGGACCGGTTTCCCGAGCCACGAACCTCCAAACCTAAAACCTAAATGCCTTGGAGTCGGGTTTGGGGCTTAGTGGTTTGGGCTTGAATTTCCAAAAATAGACGGGAGGGGGGGGAGGGGGGGTACCTCTTTTAAACCCTAAAATAGAATAGACTCCGCTTTAGGGAACCCCCCAAAACGGGTACCCCCATGTTCGGAAACCCCCACATCCCGAGAAGCACAAGACCCTCCCACCATCCGAAAAGCCTGCGACGCGCCGAAGCTGGAAACTAGCGGCATGCCTCCTGAATGAGGAGGAGGGAAGAGAAGTATAGTCCGCTTTAGGGTTTAGGGATCGTACAAGCACGCACAAAAAAAACAGAATGGCAATCAGAACCCTAATAGTACTCGCCGATCTCTGTGACCATGAGAACCATCATGACAACCAGGAAACACACACAGCAACCACGAACGAGGAGGGGGCTTGCACGACTTGGACAGGGGGGGGGAGAGGTGGAGGTTGAAGGGCTCTCCGTAGCTTGAAGATGCAGGGTCACCCTGTCCTTCCACCTAAGCCCTACACAATAAACGCACACACACACACACACACACACACACACACACACACACACACACACCTGTAAACGCAACTTGTTGGGCATAGAGGGTCTATGAGGGCTTCAGGGCCTGCGGGGGAGTCGAAGGCAACCCCAAACAACCCACAAAGCTTTGGGGAGAGAAAGCTATTTTGGGAGCCGGAAAGGCAGGTGAAGGTGGACAAAGCAAGAGCATCGCAACCGAGCCCTAAGCCCTAAATCCTAAACCCTAAACACCCTAAACCCTAAACTCACTGAAGCAAAAAGCCGAGAGAACCGCGTCTAACAAGCACTAACCTAAACCCTAAACCCTTTACAGCGAACACGAAACCCTAAACCTTAACCTTAGAAACCCAAACCGTAAACCCCAAACCCTAAACCGCGAACCTCTCAATGCCCTCTCCTGGCAATGGTGCGCCCATCCCGCGCGGGTACGAGGCGCTCTCCTGAGCATCAGCACAGGGGTCCCTGAACTTAGAGCTTAGGGTTTGAGTTTGGGGTTTAGGGTTTAGGGTTTAAGGTTTAGGGTTGGGTTTAGGGTTTAGGGTTTAGGGTTTAGGGTTTAGGGTTTAGGGCTTAGGGTTTAGGGTTTAGGGTTTAGGGTTTAGGGCTTAGGGTTTAGGGTTTAGGGTTTAGGGTTTAGGAACACCCGGAGCCCTTGCCTAAGTAACCCTGATATGCGGCTCGCCTTGGAGCGTTCTCAATCAACTTGAGCTAGGCTAGGGCACGGCTGCATGGACTTGCCCTTATCCTAAACCCTAAACCCTAAACCCTAAACCCTAAACCCTAAACCGCATGTTCGGGCTAGAAACATAACCTTTCGGGCTTAGGCTCAGGGCGGGCTGAACATCCCCCAAAGAGTTGCCACGTTTTGTCTTGCACAGGTGGCATGTCTAAGCAAGAAAGTTGAAGCGTCGGGAGAGTTCTAAAAGAGCCCAATATTAAGGATTCCTACACAAATTTACAGTATACTCGCTAAAGAATATTTGTTCTTCAAAGTATATTCTTTAAGGCATATTCTTTCAAGTATACTCCTGAATTAAGTATTGGGCTCTCTGGTTGCGCGATGCACTGGCTTAGCATCGAGACTGTACCACCTGCGCATCAGCATGGCCAGCACAATGCAAGCCTTTAAAGAATTCAGCTGCGGAGACGACGGGCGGCCGCAGGGCATTTTTTAGGGTTTAGGGTTTAGGGTTTAGGGTTTAGGGTTTAGGGTTTAGGGTTTAGGGTTTAGGGTTCAGGGTTCAGGGTTCAGGTTTTGAATGACAACGGATGTCCGCCGCTCAGCTTACATCGCAGAGCCTGTGCAGAGCTTGCAAACCAGCTCACACCTGCCGCCTTACAAATTCTCTATACTTTCGCGGCGCCTCGAAAATCTCGGGTAGGGGAAACCTTTGGCAGCAACCAACTGCTCCGGTAAAAATGCTTGTCCTTTGTCCATGTGCCAGGTGGCCCATTCGCTCTGTAGAGTTTTGAAAATTGGGGTTAAGGGTTTCTGGGTTTCTGGTTTAGGGTTTAGGGTTTCGGGTTTCGGGTTCAGGGTTTCTGGGCTTCGGGTTTAAGGGTTTAGGCAAGGGGCGTAGGGTTTCGAGTCTTGGGTTTACCGGAACAGCTTCATGCCCCGAGCGCATAATGTCAACCAACAAATCCGAAGCCCCCCCCCCCGCCCCCCCCCCCCCCCGCCCCCCCCCCCCCCCCCCAAAAAAAAAAAAAACTAAAGCCCCAAACCCTGAACCCTCAAACCCTAAACCCTTCAAACCTAAACTCTCAAACCCGAACCGCTTAAACCCGAAGCCTTTAAACAAGACACCCTTACAAAACTAAGCCCTTCAACCCTAAAACCCCGAAAATTCGCGCATTGGATGAGCGAGCACCTGCAGGAATCGAGGCCACCCAGCTCACAGGCTTACAAGTCTGGCAGCACTCAGGAGCAGAGTGGGGAGCTTCGGTTGAAGTTTAGGTTTTATAGGGTTTAGGGTTTAGGGTTTAGGGTTTAGGGCTTAGGGCTTAGGGCTTAGGGTTTAGGGTTTCTTAGGTCTTAGGTTTCAGTTTCGGTTCTATATGGTTTTGGGCAGAGGGCTGAAGGCTTAGGGTTTAGGGGTTCAGGGCTTAGGGTTGAATTGTTTAGGGTTCAAGGGTTTAGGTCTCAGGGCTGAAGGGCTTAGGGGTCTAGGGCTTTAAGGGTTCGAAGGATTCGGGGTTGAGGGTTTAAGGAGGGGTTTAGGGGTCTAGGCGTTTAGGGGTCTAGGCGTTTAGGGGTTTAGGGGTTTAGGGGTTTAGGGATTTCGGGGTTTAGGGGTTTAGGGGTTTAGGGGTTTAGGGTGGGATCCCAGGGGAGGCGCGGGGCTTGGGTTCTTGCTTAGGGTTGGGGTGCCTCTAGGGCTTTTGGCTTTAAGGACTTTAGGGTTTAGAATTGAGGGTTATTTCGGAGCTTTGATTCGAGCGTTTAGGGGTTTATGGAGTTAGGGTTGTGGGCATGTAAGCTCGAGAGTGACGGCCAAGTCATCTGAATGAGCTGACAACTCAAAACGCCCTCCGGGCAAGTCGCCGAGAAACCAGCTCTCAACAAAACTTCAGCTAAAAAGCCCTCAATGAGCTGACAGATCAAAACGGCAAGTCGCCGAGACACCACCTCTCAACAAAACTTCAGTGGCTTCTTCAGCCCTCAACCGGAAACCACCCTAGACCCTACCCTTAAACCCTGAACCCTGGATCCTAAACCCTAAACCCTAAACCCTAAACCCTAAACTTTGGCAGCCTCGGGTCGGGAGTCTTGGACCCGGAGCCTGAGGCCTTGCATCATCTTCATCTTCTTCAAGAGCTCAGCGTGTGAGCATCTTAAGCCCTAAGCCCTAAAACCCTAAACCCTAAACCCTAAACCCCAAACCCTAAACCCTAAACCCTGAACCCTGAACCCTAAATGCTCAACCCTGAGCCCGAAGCCCTAAGCCCACCGATATCTTCATCTCAGGGCCGCATCGCAGTATACCGTGGCCTGCCGTTTGGAGGGGTTTAGGCTTTAGGGTTTAGGGTTTAGGGTTTAGGGTTTAGGGTTTAGGGTTCAGGGTTCAGGGTTTATTGGGTGGAGGGCCTGCCGTTTGGAGAGCCACAACGGGGAGAAACGGCTTCGGGACCCGGGGCTTAATGGTCCGGGGCCTCAGGGGTTAGGGTTCAGGGTTCAGGGTGTAGGGTTGAGGGTTGAGGGCTGAGGGTTGAGGGTTGACGGTTGAGGGTTGAGGGTTGAGGGTTTATTAGGCTGAGGGCAAGTAATTTCACAGAAGCAGGCACAGCAGTGCTCTGGAGGGAGCTCATTCCGGGGTGGTGAGACTCAGTTCCCAACATCACGGAGAGTAGGCCGGAGCCCCGCTTGAACTTCGGCAATGAAGACCGTGGGTCGCTCCAACCAACGGGACCCCCCAAAGAGTTGTGATTCATAGGGTTCTTTGGTAGGGTTGAAGGTTCTTTGGTTGGGTTGAAGGTAAAATAGCTTCAAAACTGAAGCATGTCTTTCTTCGGGGAAGCCTTTTTCCGAGTAGAGCCTGTGGGGCATGAACAGGAATATCATGAAGGACCTATCCTATGACTGCATTTCGCAGCCCTCTACTGTACCTGGCATCATGCCGGATCAAGAAGTATAGAACCCAGGGTTGACAGATGCACACAGTTCTGGGAAGACCCGGCCTGAAGCGTGGAAGCCACGAAGATGGACATGGAGCCCACCACATCGGTGATGTCCGCGCCACAGAGCGCCTCTCGCTTGCCATAGGTGGGGCAGTCCACAAAGGCGTTTGAGAGCATCTGAGCACAGTACGCAAAGGCTCCCAGCACGTACAGCACATCTACGACACACTTCTTGGGGTTGTCGCACGTGTGAGATGCTTCGTTGATCGACAAGAGGGCTCGCATGAGCCAGCCGACAGCATCGATGGAGTCCCAGACGCAGTTGGCGATCGCGAAGTTCCGCTCGGTCTTGGCATTGTGGGCGCGCTTGATGGCCCGAATCTTGTCCAAAGTCGAATCCAGGGCGCTTCTGGGCAAGCCATGCGTTCTGGCATCGAAAAGCACGCTGGGCAACGCCGCGTGGTGGTTGTCCGGATGCTTGCTGGCCATGCTCGTCAGCTGCCGACGGAGCTCGGCCGACTTGTTCCGATAGAGGGCCACGTTGGGCAGAGTGGACGCCGGACTTTCTGAGAGACGGCGGTCATGTAGGAACCAATGCTTTGGCTTCTGGAAGACCCGGTGGTGGTTCAGCGGCTTGGTGAGAAAGCAATCCTCGTCGAAGCCGTAGATGGTGGAACCAGCCGTGGCCAAGTCACGCATGATTGCAGCCTATGCTCCCCCAAAGAACCGTTTTAACAGTTATTAATCTTATTTGATAGTATTGGTCATTCATCTTGTGTTGGGTTTTATACAAACTAAAAAAGAAGTGAAAATATATTTCCTAAGGGGGGGCTAGAGCAGCCGCGCAGGATGCTCCCATGTTGATGGTCTCCGCGCAGGTCGACGCCGCGCTCGTCAGGAAGGAAAGGACCCAGACGATGGAGGTGATGCTGTGGGCGACCGGGGCCGTGCACCCAAGCGGCTCGTCATCCTTGCTGGTGGTGAGTAGAGCAGGGAATGGGGGGGGATACAGGGTACCCCACAGCAGCCCTTAAAGGGTATATATGTAAGGGGATATAGGGTACCTCATTCCCACATTCCCCTACTAACCAACAGCAAGCATCCGGGCAGATCTCGGCCCGATAGATGGCCGTGACGGCTTCCCCAAGGTAGGACACCACCTGCGCCGCATCGATCACGCAGGTGACCTTGATGGCCTTGGCCTCCTCCGGCTCCGCAGTGTAAGGCGTGCCAACTTCTTCCACATCGAAGTAGTTCACATCGAAGAGCTCCCGGCCCTGGGCAAGACCCCGGGGTGCCAAGGGCTCCTCGGAATTTCGGGTCTGCGTCAGGCAGACTGCTGCCAAGAGGCTGCCGCAGCCGAGAGCCCAGGCGAACGAAGCCGCCAGCCTCAGCCACGCCCCTTTCGACTCGCCCGTCCCGGTAGTTCCGGTGGTCCCGGTGGTCCCGTTCGTCTGCGCCACCTCCGCCGGGATCATCTGTCGGGTCTCCTCGGCCATGGCTCACGCTGCGATGCCCCCTTGAGATGCTCGTATCGGCGCAAATGGCTGAAGCAGCGTAGCGCAACGAATCGTGCCGTCCGGAGTCGGGGAGTCGGCAGGTTGCATAGGGCAATGTGCTTTGGGATGCTCCTCTTTATACTAGCAGTCCTTAGTAGGGATTCTAGTATCCCCTGTTTATAATCCCTACTAAGGAGCTGCTAATATAAGGGGGAAACATCCCAAAATGCGCTGACAGAAGCTTCCCGATTTTCGCCCAGCCCCCGCCAACCTGATGCTTAGCACTTCATTGCTCCACCTGCCCCAACCCTAAACCCTAAACCCTGAACCCTGAACCCTAAACCCTAAACCCTAAGCTGGGCCGCCAGGCCCTCCCCATCCTCGAAAACCCCAAAACCCAAAACCCTGAACCCTAAAACCCAAGAAACCCAGAACCCTCAAACCCAAAACCTGAAACCCTAAACCCTAAACCCCAAACCCTAAACCCTAAACCCCAAACCCTAAACCCTAAACCCTCCCAAGCCAAAACCTCCCAAACAACGCGGGACCAAAGCGCTCCTTCACCTGGGCCTGCCTGGGGCACTCCAGGGTGCTTGTAGGGGCTTTTTAGGAGCTTCAGGGGCTTTTAGGGGTTTAGGGTTTAGGGTTCAGGGTTTAGGGTTTAGAGTGTAGGGCTTTTTTACGGGTTTCAGAGGGGTTTTAGAGGTTTGGGTGGGCTTTCTTAGGGGGACCCCTAGGGGGCTGCAGGGGCCTAGTCGGGCTTTTGCGGCTTTTCGGGTTTAGGGTTTCGGGTTTAGGGCCGCTTTTGAAGGGTGGTGTTTTAGGCGGCTTTAGGGTTTTGGGTTAGGGTTTCCGGTTTAAAGTTTGGGGTTTAGGGTTTGAGGGTTTTTCAAAGAGGTTTTTAAAGGATTTAGGGGCTTAGGGTTGAGAGTTTGCCGTTCAGGCTGAAGAGTCTTGTTCAATGAAGCAATCGAGTGCTGTTTACGGTCAAGGGTGTTGCAAGGGTATCTGGGGTCTTTTGGGGGAACTAAAGGGGGTGTTTCGGAATTGTTTGAGGGGATTCTTTTACGGGAATGTGGCTAAACATCTCCTAAACCCTAAACCCTAAACCCTAAATCCTGAACCCTAAACCCTAAACCCTAAACCCTAAACCCTAAACCCTAAACCCTAGGCCACCTGAGGACTCCAAGGAAAGAGAATGAGCCCTGGCGTAGGCTACGGGTCTTCGAGCTTAGGGTCCCTAAACCCCCTAGGCCCTCTAAACCCTAAGTCCTCTAAACCCTAGCCCTAAACCCTAGCCCTAAACCCTAGCCCTAAACCCTAAACCCCCTTTAAACCCTCTAAGCCCTAAGGCCTAACCCCCAAAGCCCCCGAACTCAACCCCTAACCCCTCCTCCTCCACGGCGAACCGGGTTTACGGCGTAGGGTTCAGGATGCTTCGGGCTGCCCAACTAGCCCTAAACCCTAAACCCCAAACCCTAAACCCTAAACCCCTAAACCCTAAACCCTAAACCCCTAAACCCTAAACCCTAAACCCTCGAAAGAAAGAACTCCAGCACAGACGGCCTGCCTGGAAGCCATCCTCGCAGCCGCCTCATAGCCCCCCGCCCACCCCCCCCCCCCCCCCCCCCAACATTTGGGAACGTAGGCTGGGTTCCGGGGTTTAGGGTTTAGGGCTAGGGTTTAGGGTTTAGGGTTTCTGAGTTAGGGCTAGGGTTTAGGGTTTCGGGTTTAGGGTTTAGGGTTTGGGCTTTCGGTTTAGGGATGTGTCGGGCGTTCTTTCTTGGACTTGGGGGGCTAGGCTAGACTCTCAGAGTGCCTCGGCCACAGGGGCTCCTTTTCTACCCTAAACCTAAACCCCAAACCCTAAACCCTACACCCCAAACCCTAAACCCTAAACCCTCCTAAACCCTAGGCCCTGAACGAAGCGCGCGGCTGAGTCTTATTTCTGCCGAAGGAGCGGCTCGCAGTTTCTAAGGTGCAGTTCTTCCATGCCGAGTACACACGTTGCCCCTCCTGCTGAAAAAAAGACATGGGTTTGGGGATTAGGGTTTAGGGTTGGGATCTTCCCCCTTCTACTAACAGTCCTTAGTAGGGATCATAATAGGGGTTACTAGAGTCCCTCTTCGTTAGTACAAAGGGGAAACATCCCAAGTTTATGGTGATGTAAACTCTGAGTCCCCTAGGTCCTTGAGCCCACAAGGATGAGCCTTCGACCCTGCACCCCTACATCCTGCGAAGCCTTACTACTCTCTGCTTAAGAAGCCAAAAAAACACAAATGATAATAATCCCTGTACTACCGTTATGAGGAAGAAGACCTCAGGTGTTTTTTTTTTTTTTTGGGGGGGGGGGGGGGGGCTCTTAAGCAAGTAGTAGTCCATTAGCCTTCGGGGTGCGAATTTCCTGGGTGTCTGGCAGCTTCCTCCGCCTTCTTCTTCCTGGAGTTGTGAGTGCTACGACGGATGTTTCTGTTGATCCTTGCGGGTTTTGTGATCACAATGGTTCTTGTGACTATCAATCATCATCATCATCATCATCATCATCATCATCATCATCATCATCATCATCATCATCAGGATGTTCACGGCTATTGTGGTTATTGTGATTGCGGGTTGTGGGGTCTTGCCGTTGTCGTGCTCCGGATGGCCCGGCCGGGTTGTTGGCTTCGGAGTGATTCACAAAGGGTACAGCACACCACAGAATTATGGATATTTCCGATGATAAGGACCCTATAGAAAACCCCATGTTTTAGGAAAGTGCCCCTCTGCTAAACCCTAAACCCTAAACCCTAAGCCCTAAACCCTAAACCCTAAACGCACATCTGGGGCGGTACCAGAAACCCTGCGCACGCGCACTTTCTCCCGCGCGGAAGCTCAGTCTGGCCCTCGCCCTCTACGCGGGTGCCAGGATCACCATGAAGCGATGGAAGGTGCCGACCTTGCCAGAGACTCCAATATCCCTTAGTTAAGGAAATATTGCTTAATCCATGTAAGGATCCAACCTATACTTCAAGGAACATTCCCGAATTCAGGGGTATTGGAGTCTCTGGGGTGTTTTAGCATCATCATCACCACCATCATGTGGGATGTTCCCCCTTATACTAACCGTCTTTCATAGGAATTATAGTACCCCCTATTTTCATCCCTAGGAAGGACTGTCAGAAACACGCTGGGTACTGTGATTAAGAAGACTCGCACGATTGTTGCGGTGAACATCCGGACGACTATCGTTGTCGTGATTTTTAATCCTTTGATTGTTGCCACTCTCGTCATGATTATGATTGTAAGTGCGGCTGAAGCAAGTTCAGGATTGACACTGCTACCTGCACCAACAACATTAAAGCCTGCGCGGCCTCACACATGAGCAGAACACCCTCGCACGTGCACCTCGCGCTATGAGTAGCGTTCTCAGTTTCAGAAGGAGACCTGAAACCCTAAGCCCGGGTTTAGGGCTTAGGGCTTAGGGCTTAGGGTTTCGGGTTTAGGGCTTAGGGTTTAGGGTTTAGGGTTTAGGCTGGGGTTAAAACACAAAGGCAACACTGTGTACCTACAATCCTTTGGGGACGGTCTTCGCTGGCCTCATCGGCAGGACTGCCGGCATAAAACCTGGGAAGCAAAGGGCGCAGGGGGGTTTAGGCGGTTTAGGGTTTAGGGTTTAGGGTTTAGGGTTTAGGGTTTAGGGTTTAGGGTTTAGGGTTTAGGGTTTAGGGTGTAGGGTTTAGGGTTTAGGGTTTAAAGTTTAAGGTTTCGGGTTTAGGGTTTAGGGTTTAGGGTTTAGGGTTTAGGGTTTAGGGTTTAGGGTTTAGGGTGAGAAGCAAAGGGCTCAGAGGGGTTTGGGGTACAGGGTTGAGAATTCAGGGTCTGTAGGTGAGGGCACAGGGTGTCGGGTGCAGTTCTTGGGGTACAGGGTTTTTGCTTAGGTTTTGGGGCTTTGGGGTCCAGGGTTGCGGGTTTCAGGGGACCCATACCCCACAGCCCTCATTACAAACACCTTCCGGAAAGGATCCCAGGGCCTAGGCCCTTAAACCTTAACCCTGAACCCAACTTGCCAAACTCTGAGCCCTAAACCTTAAACCCTAATCCCTTAAATCTAAACTCTACACCCTAAACCCTAAACCCTGAACCCTGAACCCTAAACCCTGACCCCCTCAGCCAGGAGCGGATTCTCGCGAATCTCGCAGGCGGCGCCGTGGCGGCGGCAGATCTGCGCGGTGGCCTTGCCAGGGGCTTTTAGGATGAGGGTTTACGGTTTAGGTTTCGGGTTTAGGGTTTAGGGTTTGGGGTTTAGGGTTTGGGGTTTAAGGTTTAGGGTTTAGGGTTTATAGGGTTTAGGGTTTAGGGTTTAGGGTTTAGGGTTTAGGGTTTAGGGTTTAGGGTTTAGGGTTTAGGGTTTAGGGTTTAGGGTTTAGGGTTTAGGGTTTAGGGTTTAGGGTTTGGGGTTCAGAGCCCAGATTTGGGGTTCAGAGCCCAAATAAATAAACATTTGGAATCGCAGGCCGGGTTGCCCACAGATCCTAATTTTGGTTCCGAAGGAAAGCCCACAAACTTTTTGACCCGGGGCAACACTCCAACAGTTCTACAAGCCCCTGCCCCTCGCAGGTGTGGACCTCAGCCTCTTGGCGGTAGAAGTTGGCGAAGACCTCTGTGCGCGGGTGTCTCGAGAGCTTTGAGGGCTTCAGGCGCGTGGAGGGCTGTTGGGGTTGCTGGGCTTTCTCCCGCCCCCCAAAAAAACCTCGAAACCCCTGAAGCCCCCGAACCCCCTAAAGCCCGCACCCTAAAGCCCTTTTGAACCCAAACCCTAGCAGGCTCGGAGCTGCCAAGAGACGCATCGCCCTCCCTTGGCACGGCTGCGGAGGACGTTCTCCAAGATGGGCAGCCAGGGCCCCCCGTTGGTCACCTTTGGAGTGAGTCCGATGCTTCCGGTTGTAAGCTTGGAAGTTTAAACCCTACATATGTAACCAAATTAGATTAACCCCTGAACCCTAAGTACCCAAAACCCAAAATCCAGCATACCCTAAACCTTAAGCCCTAAACCCTAACCCTGGACCCTAAACCCTAAACCCTAAACCCTAAACCTTAGACTCTTTAAGCCCCCCATAGTGGCCTCCGGGTGTGCTGCAAGGACCAGGCCCGAAGGCGGCTGCGCCGACCGGACCAAGTCCTGGATTAGGGGCCTTAGGGTTGAGGGTCTAAGGGTTTAGGGGTAGGACTTAGGGTTCGGGATGTTTGGGGTTTAGGGTTTAGGGTTTAGGGTTTGGCGTTTAGGGGTTCAGTTCAGAGTTAAGCATTAAGTGCGGGATTACTCCCCCTAAAGGTTTAGGTTCTAGGGCTAGGGTTAAGGTTAGGGTTTTCGGGGTAGGGTTTTTAGGTTTTGGGGAAACCCTGAATCGTAAACCCTAAACCCAAACCCGAACCCTGCACGCCTGCTGCTTCAGCTCTAGACGTACTCGGCCCCCGAAAGTGTGCTGGGCCCATTTCTCCTGGGCGGCAGGGACCCAATCTGTGATTGCAAAACGGCTGTTCGCGGCTGCACATGGAAAGCGGCCAAAAAGAATCCGAAAGATCGAGAAAAAAAGTCGATATGTGGATTGGAGAGGAGCTTTCGCGATAAGTCGAACATCCACGAAAAGTCGAAAAGTCCCGGGGAGTCCCAAAAAGTCCGAAAAGCAAAAAAGTCGAAAAGTTGAAACGTCGGCAAAGCCCAGAAAAGCAAACGGAAAAGTCAAAAATGCGAAAAGTCGGGAGTCCGGCACTCGAGGCTTTTTGGGGCGAAGGCGGGAGACCGGGGGGGGACTGGATCAGAAACTTGGCAACCAGGATGTTGAAATCCTCAACCAAAACTCACACTGGCCACACCACAATGACTTTCATAATGTCCTTGAGGGCCCTTTGTTGGCCCTGCCAACCCTCAAACCGCCACTGGTACCGCCGATCGAACTCCAGACCGCCAACAGATGCTTCCGCTTTCTTCTGCAAAATGTCCTTGGCAAGAAGAGCTGTAAAGCACAGAACGTCCTGTTTCTCGGATCTGCAGCGAGCAAATCCAGAAGACTTGAAGCAGGTAGGCAAGTGAGCAGCACTCTTGCTTGCCCCCGAGCAGCGGGGGCACAGCAGGAAGCTTCGGACTTGGGCGACGCATAGGCTTCTGATTTCTGGGATTGCAACCAAAGACTCTCGCAGACCACATTCAAAACAATTGGCTTGCCCATGTAAGTTGGGGAAACACAAACCAAGACATGTAGGTCGAGTAACCAAGATGTGCTTGCACACGCTTGCACGACCTCCCCGACCTATGTCTAAACACCCAGCATGACGCAACCTGCAGCTAAACTCACACAGCCTCATCGATCGTACCTCAACTGGACCCAACCCAAGCTATCGAACTCCTAACCTAACCTAAGCTGACCTAACCCGACCTATGTCGATGGTCACAGCATGACACAACGTAAGCCAAACTGGCACAACCGCCCGCGCCACACAGCATAAACCCCAAGCCAATATAATCGAAGCTGACACAACCTCACCTACTGAGCCTCGAAACACCTGAACTTGACCAAACCTTGATGAGCCAAGTCCTAAACAAAGAGCATGTCTGGCAAGCAAAAGCTCTAATAGGCGAAGAAAGATTGCCGTCATCCTGAGTCAACCTTGCACGCGGCGTACAGGGACTATAGGCACAGGGAAAAACCTGGCTTGGGGAAAGGCCTGCGCCCTGCGCCTCCTGAATTTTCGGGGCCCAAACCGAGCCCAACTCCGGACAAGAACCTTGCGCTAACTCTCCCACACTCGCGCCCTCACGCTTTTAGTCCTCACTCTCTCACACGCTCACATTTCCAAGCTACGCGCTCTGGCTCACTAACGCACTCACGCCCTCGCGCTTCTCTCGTCACACTCATGCTCGCACGCCCTCACGTTGAAAGTCTCACTCACGCAGTCACGCCCTCAAGGACAAGCGCTTTTTGCTGCAACACCAGACCCTATTCGCAACATCAAGAGCCCTGAGCCGTAACCCTCAAGGCATTCACTCACGTCACATGGCCTTGCCTGACTGGAAGGGAAGAAGAGGAAAATGAGCCCACCTTCCGCATCAAGAAGTGCACTCGCATCCTTCTGTTAACAATTGAACCCACGCTCAGAGCGGCGAAAACTTGAGTTGGGCGCGCAGCTTCTTGCTGGCGCGGTCATTGGCAGCTACACTTGCGACGGACAGAACATGGCAATTCAGCACTGTCAAGGACACACGATAATCTTCAATTCATTTCTTCGCCCCCGAAGGCGCCGTATAATCGCAAGGCAGGCTGAAGACACACAACGTCTAAAAGTAATTCTGCACCACAGACAAGCGTGCGCTCATTAAAGCAACACCGAATGAAGAAGCACTGGCATAGGAGCCCTGACCAGGATCGACGCTCTAAACTCTAAACCTTCACTCGCAGCCT